TTGAGGTCCTCCTCTAAAACATAACATTACATAATGCTTATATATTTCAAAGAGAAGAGATCAAAATAAAACACCTATACAAAGAGAGCGGTGCACAGCGCTTAATATTTACTTGCACTATATTTCTGTTGATCTGGGTTATTGTGTTGCACTGTTGGAGGAGCCTGTGACCTAAGATGTTCATTGTCATAACTACACTAGCTATGTTCGTATGACAAAATAAAAAACCTTGAACCTTGAGGCTGTGTCTTTCAGACAAACCATCATAATCATATTATTTTATGCTGTGGATACTTTAGCCTCCATCCATGTTAACAATCTTTTACACTTGCATTTATGAATATAGTTCTGTTGTGTTTTACACTTTTGTATTTATGTTTATAGTTTGCTTTGATATTTGCTTAATTTATTAGATTATTATTATTATGGGGGCAGTACTGGTGCTTGAAATTCAAATATTTACTAAATAGTCAATTCTGATAACATTTTTTTGGTTTAAATAATTTGACAAACACATGTATGTGAAAAAGAAAAGATGTATTTATGTTCAATACAATGAATATTTAGGTATTACATTATACATTCTAGGTATTCAGGTAGCGCATCAGACCCAAGTAACATGTAATGTAATGTTGACTAACTTATAACGAGCAAAACATTCCGGTTTTTAACATATATTATACAATTCCGCCTTTTCATTTTATACACAAATGTCGCTTTCTCACAATGTCCTCAGTATTTATTGCTTTTATCAATGAATAAACATGTATTACATTTTGCAAACATGAAAAAACACATCAGTTTTACACATTTTTAAACGCCTTAATTCCTGAATGACAACTTTGCTGTTTTCTGTTCATAATGCCCTCTTTTGAATTCATGTAATGAACGTAGGTTTTCCTCAGGCATCCTGAAGTTCTCCACCCACTGAGTGTGTGAAAGATGGAACAATCACATTCCACCACTCGGTAGCTCGGTCGGTAACTTCTGAAATACACAAACAAAAGCATACATATTTTAATACGTAAAAGTGGTAGCTACAATTAATTAAATACTTGAAATACTTTGGTCGTATAGGGAGCGTGAGCCTAAACACATTGCTAGTTAGCGAACGTTAGCTTACCAAGTAGCATTGTAGTTAGTAGTGATTCGAGTCGTCCTGTAGTCTCTGCGGCGTAGGAGGACTGCCCGAACTCTCGCGTCAGCTTCTTCTATACGTCGCCTCTTTCGAAACAACTCTTGTCTATTTCTTGTGATAATAAACCACACAGCAAAAAACAAGCAAACGATCGCTTTCACATCTTCCATTGTTGTGTCGCATTGAAGATGACGTCACGGCAGTTTTAAGCAGCGTCGCTCCGCCTATACTGCGTTACTATAGATACTACCCCAGTTCCTAAACTGTAATGGAAACGCGCCATAAAGTGAGCTGGTCCTAACGAGGCCAATCGCGGCCCAGCCATACCGAGCGGGGCCGAGCGAGGCCGTATAGTGGAAACGCGGCATTAGTCAACATTTCCCAGAGAGCTTTCTTTGAAATCACCAGGTAACGCTAAAAAACATTACATTTAGATTGTATGACAAAGTGTGTATTTAATATATCTGGCTAGCTATAGCTACTTGCTAATGGTTTAGCTTACCCCCGCGATTCAAAGTAACGTCAACGTAGCTGTAATTTATGCTTTGCTTACATGTTCGCATAACTTGGAAGTTTACTGACATTTACATACCTTGTTTACCTGGCTCAAGTGGTGGCTCTGGGGTTGTTGTGTGAGCCACCACTTGAGAATTGTCGTCTTTTTTAAGAAAATGTTTTCTTATGTCCATCTTCAAAAATTCTGAGTCCGACTGACAGTTTAAACATTGTCACAGCTCACAGGATAGGTACCTGTCATCCAATAAGACATATGTTTATTTCCATTCAACTCTCTGGTTGGTCTGGTGTCTTGCCTCTGTTGCATTCACCGAACACGGGAAATTACAATCCTGCCGTCCTCTCTAGTGTCATGATGAGGTTCAGGTAAAGCACGGTTAATGTATTATATTATTGATTCAATAATATAATACATGACTTTGAGAGTAGGCAATCTAGGCATATTAACACAATTAATTAAACATACTTATCACGGCGACGGTGTACTGAGATCTTTTTCTTCATTTTTTAGGATAATAAGGTTAATTGTGTGTTATTGTTGAGTAAATAACAGTGTGTTATTTAGAAAAGAATAACAAATTAGAAGGAAAAAAAGATTTTAAAAATACAGATTTCAGTATTCTGAGGCTCTGAGCCCCATTTCTTTTCCTCACGGATGGCAAAAAAAGTCCGACATTATACGATTTAAAATAAAAACAATAATCGTGGCTTGATAATGAGTAAGAACATGTTTTTATGAACCACACAGCTTCCGGTCTTCCAAGACCCGACTGGACAAAAAGACGTGGTGCAGGCACGAAACACACTACCAATAGAAATACATTGCTTTTAAAATCGTTCTGTGTGACACGAAAAAAAGGGGGAAATCGTGTTGGTGAACACGAATCAATAGATTAAATGTCGTGACTATAACACGAAATGCCGTGAGACTGGGTTGCACACACACACACACACACACACACACACACACACACACACACACACACACACACACACACACACACACACACACACACACACTCACGAATACACAGGTAATGACTTGTAGCTATAGGGAATGAATTGTAAAGCTTGGAAATTAGCATCTTAGCACGTCCGGTTCCGTCGTCAATTTTTATTTTTGACATGTGTTTTAGTTAGATGTCTGAAATAAGGTCTGTGGTTAACACAAGCTTACTAAATGTTCACGTCTATTCTATGACAAAGAATACATCAGTAAAAGAAAAAGAAAAAGCTTCATTGTGTCATAAAAACTTGGGTTGCTAACAAGTGGCTAAATGAGGCTACTTAACGTCATCATGCTTCCCATTAGCCACCTTTAGCTTAGCGGTGGTGTTGCTCATCAATGCGACTGTGATGCAGTTCCGTTATAGCTTCATAACGTTAGCTTTTCTCTTCTGTATTTACACTTCAAAAATCATAAAGGGGTGCTAATATGTGGAGATTATCCTGCTGAACAATATACGTAACATAAACATGTGTTTGCCATTCTTTGCAATCCAATGAAAAATCCCATAGATTTTTGTTCAGGGATTCCTAGTGATGCTAGCTTCCAGGTCCGTCTACAGGAATACATCATCACTGCACCACTGTATTGTGCCTTGTTTAAAGCGTGGACTTCTGAGAAGTGCTTACAGAATAAACATCTTCCTCAGTTCAGTTCTATCATGCCCAAAAGTGAAAATGATATATGTTGTATGTATATTATAACATTTGATGGTTGCAGCTGGTCCTATGTCTAACTACTTTATATTGTTGGATAGTTTAATCTATGAGAGGGACAAATGTAGCTAGAGACAAAATCAGATCTTTCATCAGCCCTTCCCTGTCCACATATTTCAAAGTCTACATCGATACTGCAGATTTGGCAAACAGTTGGAACAGGAATCACTAGTGCTCTTATTTTATTCATGTTTTTTTGGGGGGGCCACAAGAACCATATTGGAGAGAAAAATGTAATTGGAATAAATATTAAAAACCTGCAGTGTGGGGTTGTTTCCCACCTGTCTGACTGCATAGAGTGTTAGGTAATGTAAGGTCATTTGGTTTCCTCTCTGGCCCATACACCATCCTCCTGCAGCAGAGAGCTCAGGTGTTACTAACAACACTGAGGCTCTGTTCTGATGCTGCAGTGAAAGTGAGCAGCATGCCGATACCAGGAACATGAAACCAAAACAGCCACATGGAATTCAGACGTCATTCATGTTAATGTTTACATCTGAGATTCAAAAGTCAAAAGACATAGGGGTAAGACAAGATAAGTCTGTACTTCTTCCTACTCCTATTTCAGATATTTAATATGTATTTGGTTTGTTTAGGTCTACATTTCATCAAGAGTTTGCTCTTTGTTCAATGTTCATTTTGTGAGTGTGGTATCCCCTTTTTGTAATGAATAACTGTAATATGACAATGGTGAAGAAACACTTCTCACAATATATTTCATATATAAAAAAGACATTTTATATTTGATACTTAAATAATTGGGAGTCAGGATCATTCAGAGGTTAATGTGAATATTTGCACATTTTCTATCCATTGTCAGTTATCATGTTATCATGCTTCTTGTCTTTGCTGACCCTGCCCCAGCAAAATGTAATGTAAACATTTAAAATGACCTCCTCATAGGCTCTTCTGCTCTGCGTGGCGTGAATTCCTTGGTATGTACCCAGTGAAGTAACAAGAACAACTTTTTAATACAGATCTGTTTGAATTTGCTTTGTCTCTTATAAAGAGGCATCAATATTTTAGAGCAAAAGTTCTTTGTAAATAATTTTTCATTGCATTTAGGGGCAAAATGATAAAAACAAACTCAATTAAATAAGTAAATAGTTTCATGTTTAACCCCTTACAATTATTGAGTTTGTTACATAATTGGTGTAAAAAGTGTTACATTTGGAAGTTTTTATTTTTAAGGAAAGTTTCTGAAAACCCTTTGAAAAGTCTTTATTCTCTGACGGTCAGGCCTTTACTCGTCACTTCCAGTTTGTTGGTTAAATAGTACAGTCATATGAAGGCAGGCTGCTGCAATAACAATGATAATGCTAATGAGGGCAGTTCACATCAAATCCTTTTTCCCAATGTCGTCACTAAACATGATGAGACGCTGCACAGATTGACAAAGACCGCCACGCCTCTCTCCCTCCCACACACACACACTCACACACACACACACACACACACACACACACACACACACACACACACACACACACACACACACACACACACACACACACACACACACACACACACACACACACACAGCAGTGGGTGAGGTCTGGGCGTGACAGCCTCCGTCAGGAATGCAGTAGTGTGTGTTTTGAGCTCTCCATGCTCTCACCCGGGCTGATCTGTCAGTCTGAATGTCCTGACAGACACACACTGACAACTCTCATTGAATCAGAATGGAAACAGGAAAAGAAGAACACAGAGACGAGAGTCTGTGCTGTACGGATACACGAAGACAGTGACAGAGGATTTGATTTTCCTAGACACCTGCGGGTTTCTGACAAGCTAGTTCTTGGTGACTTATTTCGCTCATGGATTTATTCTTTTCCCTAACACTTTCTAACTGAAAAAACTTCTTCTGGATTACGTTTGCAACATTTTGAATTCAACTCTCAAAGACTTTTAGTTTCAGATTTGTATCTATTTATGTTCATTGCAGCTTAAAATCTGTGATCAGAGTCCATTTCAGCATCACTATTTGACTTTTACTACCTTTTTTAATATTGTATTTCTTTGTATCATAAAAGTACACTTAGATATACTGTCAGAAGAAGTCCAGGGTAGTGTTCAGTGATAATTAGCTGTTGAAAAGCTGTAATGTCGTTGGATTTTGAGCTACAGTGACAGCAGAGAGATCTGATCCGACACCTGACACACTGCTGGAGCAACATGCCCTCTTGCTGCAGCGCATAGACGGGGTCACACAGGTAAGGAGAATCCAAAGATTTATGTAGAGGAAGAGGGACCATAGGGCAAATTACACCATGTATTTAAAAATAATTATCGTCTGTAATTTGTAACATCTTTGTCCCATTTTAATACTTTACAATAAAGCTCACAATTTACATTTGAATAGATAACTAATCAGGTAACAGTACAAAAGTAACTGGGTCCAAACACATACTTAAAAATGGTGATAAAAGAGCCCAAAGTGACAACTATAGAAGAGAAAGCAGAAACTCTTTATATTTGAGAAGTATAAAGCATGTTTATTTTTATGTGAACATCATTCACATGAACTTTAAAGTTCCTCTTATAGTCAAATTGCTATATATTTTCTGGGCTAAATTCTTAATTTATAATGTAACTAAAGCTAAAAAGTATATATTTTGCTTAAATTATATACTTTGATTGCACTCTTAAATATATATCTAAACAAAATAATAAATTACTCAAGGAAGTACAAGTACCTACAAATTCTACTTGAGTAAATGTGATGTCATTTTACATTTCAACTCTGTTTTTAATGTAAATACAGAGGAAGAAATGTTAGACTGTAGGGAACAAGGTAATACCATTGGGCATTCTATTGGAAAGGAGAAATACATGATTCTGCTGAATCTATGAAGCAATAATACTATAACATATTTCATAGACTGTATGATTTATTTGTATGCGACATGGTAGCTTCTATTTAAACACCTGTAGTGAGGAGGTACCAACATGTAATGTTGTTTTTACATGATTATGAACCATTTAAATCAGTCATTTGCAGGTTTCATAGTTTCAAAATTGTGCAGAGATATTTTGGGCACCTTTGGTTTAAGATTAAGAGCGCACAACCAAAAAGTGAGAAAAGAACACTCACAGGTTCTTGACCAAAATAATGGTGACTGTACCTCTGACCTCTAACATTTAACATTATTTGGGACATTATTAGAACAATCTGATCAAAGTAATGGTCCCTTACACTCACCGTCCTCCTGCATCAAATACTCACTGTTTAAGTAACATTTGCTAAATTAGGAACCACTGGGCATTGAGGAGCCACAGACAGAGCAGGGAAGTCAGAAAGTATTGACAAAAAGATCTGAAACATTGTTGGTTTTGGTCTTTTCATGAGATACATTGACAATAGGACAAATTAGGAAATTGGCCAGCTGTAAGAGTGAAGTCCACACAACTGGCTACTGATGGAAATGTGTCATCAGGAGAGAGAAGAGACGCTACAGGAGCTTAGCTGCCTCATCAACAACACACATTGTTGTTAGGAAAAAACACCCTCCAGCAAATATTTACTGATGGAATTGCTTTGGAGTGAGAGTTAATCCCTGCTGTTTGTGGCTGGCACTGACCTCTGATCTGTGTGGAAGAGAAAACACATTCCTCTCAGGGGTCGATTGGATCGATTAAAGCCTGCACACTCTGAGCATCATGGTGAATTATATCCCTGTCATCAATCCATACACAAGTATACACACACAGCTCTGATCATAGTAAGAGTCCTGCAGCAAACAATCACATGCTCATACTCAAACACATTTTTGTAACTGAGGCCAGGACACCAACAGTGCATATGATCAAATATAAACAACACATGCATGGACATCAGCCATATCAGTAAGAGTCAAAGTGCTTTGTGATGCTATGAGCCAGTCAGTGACTTGATATATCTGACAGTTTGCAGATGACGGTATTTTCTACCTTTATGTTATGATTTCAGGGGATCAATGCATTTATATAGCGCTTTTCCAGTCTATGCGACCCCTCAAAGCACTTTCACATATCACGGATACCTACTAAATATACCAACACCTTGACCCATATTGATTTAAAGATTGTCAGTTCCACTGCGTACCAACGGCTGAAACTGCGGCGACAGCAGTGTAACTTAAAATGATGGCAGCAGGTTTTCTGTAACAGTCCAAGTCTGTTCACGTTTTCTTTTTCATTAACCAGTCTTTAAACACTGCCGGACACCGTGGTTGCGGTCGAATTGTTTAAAAATCAGCTCCTATCATCTTTTCCTAATCACTATTCCTTGAACTCTGAAACGTCACTTGGTTAAGGAATAGTGGTTAGGAGAATTCAAAAGGACTTTGGAAAAGACGACCGGGCTTCAAGAGAATCCGACTGCACTGACACTATCAGACGTATTTATGACGTCAGCAAATGTTATTAATGTGCGTCTGCTGTGGGGAAACTACAGTTTTCTTTACAGTGGACTACTGTAAGACCTCTAGAGAATTTGCACCGTTTAAGGAATACAATTGTATTTATTACATGTTAGGCCTTCACATCTATTACTGTGTATATCACCATTCAAACATGTTTTAATAGTTTAAGAAACACCACACAGCTCAGTAAACTGTGAAATGTTGACTTTATTTTATCATTTCATTAAAAAAGTAACGTTAATATTTCTCCTTTTTATTCTTATAGTGTTGAACGTTCAAAACAAAGCGGCGAAACCGTGCCGCGCCACACTGATTGCGCCGCATAAGCGCATAGGTGCGCCACATTTTCGACTCAGTTGAAGCACCCTCCGCAAGATGAGGCCCCCTCCGCAAGGTGAGGCCCCACGCAGTCTGCATGATCGGCCTGTAGGGAGGGACGGCCCTGCTAAAGGAGGTTATAAAGGAAGTTTCAAAGCTCCTTTGCTTTCATCTAGAGAATTCAAACGGCTCTTATCATGGCTGCCATTGAGGGACTTCCGGGTCATTTCACTCCGTTAGGAAGGTTCCTAAGCTAAACTGACAATTCGATTGCAACCCCACTAACTTCCTGTATGTCTTCTTCTGCTGATTTCTCTGACGTCCGGCGCTTTGTCTTTTAACCTCTTTCCTTCTCTTGTTCTTTTTTTCTTTTCTTTACTGGGGACTGTTTAGCCATAATGAATCCAAAGTTTTGTGCTCTCCAAAAATATAATTAAATATTTAAAAAGTATTCCATGTAGTTTACTGATCAATAAAACTAATGTTTGCTGTCCACAGCTGATGTTAAATTGTCCCATTTATAAGAAGATGGGACTATCTATATGGAGTCTGGTCTTATAGACAGGGGCTATAACGGCACAAAGTCCCTTGATCCTCCTTAGCAACGGTCTGTTCTCCTTAGCAGCAGTCTGTTAGCGAGAATAAATAACCTCTGGAACGTCAAAATTGACCAATTAGACCCGAGTATTTAACCAAGCTGTGTCATAAATCATAACTGTTGAGAATCCCCACTTAAAACCACACATCACTGCAGTGTATTTGCTCATAACTTAAAAAAGGTATTTCTTGTTACTTTGTACCATCAGCACTCGCTCTATGATGATGCAAAGTAGTGTGTTGCTGTGATTCCCATCTACACTGAAACTGTTGTTCACGCTCCAACATACCAAAGTGCTGTTCCTATCATAAGACTAGCCTTATATAAATGATCAGACACTGATAGAGGAGCACTTGGCCACACCTCATGACTCAGCTGGGTGAAAAACAAGTCTTCCAGTCAATCACACCCAGGTGATTGTGTGTGTTGTTTGTGTGGGTGATCATGTTTGTGTTGATGGATAGACGACATGTGTCAATGCATGTTTATCCCAATTTGATGTGTGATGTTTCCGAGTTGAAAGTATACAACAGCGTGCATGATAACTCTGTGGTAATAATGCATGGATATTAGTTATCGGTTTTTACATTACTTGACATTTAGCTGAAGAAGGGATGAGTACCAAACCATAGACCAGGGTTGTCCAAACTACGGCCCGGGGGCCAACTGCGGCCTATGGTCCATATTAAATTGGCCCGCAGCACATTTTAAAAGTATAATGTAATACGGCCCACACGTGAAACTTGTGTTTGTCTTTCATTGCACTCTTAAATGTACATTTAAAAATATATTCCAGAGTATTCATTGTTGTGTTTATGTTAATAAGCTCACCTTTTCTTATACATTCAGTCATTAAAGTCTTAGTTAAAAAAGCCCAATCATTTATTTTCATAAAAAGTTTGAAATATCCCCTTTCTATTTCCCCTAATCTCACATGGCCACATGCACAGTCAAACAGGTTTGACTTGCTACAATTGTTCATCCTGTCCTTTGGGTCATTAGGAGATCCCAACCCAACATGCCTCCAATGGAATGACAAACAGTCTTCACTTGTCCTCCAACAGGTTTAATGCTACTCATTGGACTTCTAGGTCTAGTTGTATGGAATACTTTGTAGAAGGGCATCCTGTATACATCTATTGTATATCTGTAAGCCTATGTCATGTGGTCATGTGAGAAATAGAGGACACATATTGGCACATTACAAATAGTCCCTGTTTTGGCATAAAGTATAATAATTGAAATGAAAGTTAAGAAAAGGTTTTCTCCACCTGTATCATGTCTGTTTTTAATTTCTGTCGTTGCTTTCAAGCCTGTTTTGATTGTTTCACCTAGTCTTATTAGTTCCACCTGTTGGTTTTTGTTAAGTCAGAGTCTTTTTTGTAGTAGATCGCCAAGTTATGTTGTGACTGGACAAAGCCTTTAAATAAAGAGTATCTGTGATCTGCAGTTAGATCCTTGCTCTGCTTTCTGTGACAGATCTGTCAAAAGACAGGAGCAGATACTCTCAACAGAAACTGTCTTTATTTAAAGGCTTGGTCCAGAGGAGGCAAGGCAAAACAGAACCCAACAGAACAGAACCTCTCGATGTATGACAAACAAGAATCTGACTAAGACTTCACAAAAAATAGGAGGTCAGGTGGTTCCAGGGCAAATGGGGGACAGGTGAAACTGATAAGACCAGGACAGACAATCAAGACAGGCGGGAAAAACCAAGGTCGTTTTAAGAAAACGTTCATTCCCATGAACGTCTCTCAGTGGCACATGAAGCAAGTATGGCCTCTTGAGAACAAACACCCCGGATCTTCCCTGGTTTATTCTTGCAAGCTTCCACATCCTTGGCGCCAATACAGCATATGTTTTCATTAAGCCCCGCCTACTGTTGCATCTCATAAGACAAACCTCATGAAAATAGAAGTTGCTGCAAAATGCACCAGGATCAATAACATTGATTTATAGTTATTGTCTTGTTTTTGACTCAATAGTTGTAACCATGGCGTCCCGGATGAAGCAGCCCCAAGGACGGGGCATATCCTCTATATTTTCTTGCTGCTTTAAAGGTAGTGAAAAACCAGAGATCACCTACTGTCATGACAACCCCAACAATGCTGCTGTACTGGAGCCCACCCTGCCAATGCCCCCCCTTCCAGAGCTGGACTCTCTATTCACTGAGCTGGTGGTGAGTCAACCAACACTGGTTGTTCTACTCCATGTGCATTCAAACATCGGTCATTCATCCATCTCTCCTTTCTCCTGTCCCAGGATGAACTGGACCTCACAGCTGAAAACAGAGCCGCCATGTTTTCTTTGCCAGCAGAGAAGAAATGGCAGATCTACTGTGGCAAGAAACTGGTAAGAAATGATTACTACCCATCAATCAATCAGTATTGGAAATGATGGGCGCAGCTGCAGCTTATGAGCAACATAACACATGGATTTGGATTTTACAGTACTATATGTAAGCATATCCATGACTACGCTGTGTGTGTGTGTGTGTGTGTGTGTGTGTGTGTGTGTGTGTGTGTGTGTGTGTGTGTGTGTGTGTGTGTGTGTGTGGTGTGTGTGTGTGTGTGTGTGTGTGTGTGTGTGTGTGTGGTGTGTGTGGTGTGTGTGTGTGTGTGTGTGTGTGTGTGTGTGTGTGTGGTGTGTGTGTGTGTGGTGTGTGTGTGTGTGTGTGTGTGTGTGTGTGTGTGTGTGTGTTGCAGGAGGCAGAGGAGAACGCCTCAACCAGATGGCCAGAGTATTATATTGACCAGCTCAGGTCCCTGGCTGCTGTGAGTTACACTCCCCACTTTGTATCCATGACACAGGAAGAGAGCTTTGATTGAATACCACTCTGAACAAACCAACCAGAACGGCTTCGTGGCTAGGCTCACTGGTCCATGTAATACGAGAGTAACTTCTCATCATACAATCCTTCATTTACTATGCCTTGAAGTCAAACATCGTCTATTAAAGCAGAAACCATATACATTTATCGGGAAATATGCATCAGGGGATGTTAATGACAACAGTCAGTGAATTACTACTATCTAGTGGCAGCTAGCTTGAGGAGACAGTATGCGTAACGATGGTGGGACACAAGCACCACAACACTTCCGCTGAAACATATTGGCATACTTTTAACAAAGTCACTCTGGAAAAGAGTATAAAGTAGGAGAAGTAGTTTTTGCAATTCAATCTGGCTTTGTAAATGTAGAGAGTACATCTTCAACGGGTATACACTGTGACGTCATTGGGCTCCTCTCGGGCTCTGGTCGGTTTAAAAAGCAAACTGGTTCTTAAGTGGTTCCCAAGTTGAACCAACTTTTAACCAAACTAGCCCCAGCATGGAACTAGAACAGAACTCAATTCAGTGGAAAAGGGGGACAAGTCCAGACTCATCCAGTCCTCCAACCTGATACAGCTTTACCAGCAGTGTCTCCCTGACAGAGAGCTTTCTGTCTTAAAGCTGTCAGTAACAAGCGGTGTCCCCTGTCAGGCACATGCTGTTTTTTCAGGAAATGATTGCTGAGGTCCGGACGTCTGTGACCTCATATCATGCTACTGCCATCAGTATTGAACAGGGTTTATATTTTGCCCCATACATGCATTTGTCAGGTGTACAGTAGCTCTTCATGAGCCTGCTTAACCCTTTAACTGCCAGACCAAGAAAGAATCTATGGAAAAATTATTTGTTTGCATTTTTTTATCAAATGGGCCACAAATAACCACAAACCATTTTTATTTGTTTGACTGACCAAACAGTTTTGTTTTTATGAGCCTCTACAAACTGGTCGAGCTGGCCTTCTATGGTAAAAGTGCATTTTCAACAATCATCACATACAGTACAGTATGTGTATGCTGAAATACATTTGTTTCTTTTGTGGAAAATGAGCAATATATACAACCAGATATTCATAAAAGATAATAAATTATAATTGTAAAAAGAAAAAATGGAAAAAAGTAATGTTGAGTGTTTTTCATAATAAACAAAAGACTTGCTCATCGTACTGTAGATGCTGAATTGGCCTAACAGGAAACCACTGGCCTAACAGCAAATGTCTACATCCTGTGTTGGCCTAACTTGCTCATCTTACTGTAGATGCTGAATTGGCCTAACAGCAAATGTCTATATCCTGTGTTGGCCTAACTTGCTCATCTGTGTGCAACTTTGGGCTGAATGCCATGCATGAAAGGTGCTATATAAATGATTATCACTCTTTCACTCTGAGACTCATAAGGCAGTACTAGATTTAGTAATATTAGCATGAATCTAGCCATTTATTTACCATATTTTATTGGAAAACATCTCTGAAACTCTGAAAAAGTCGTATTGCTAGTTTACAATATGAAGGCCAATTCGACCGGTTGGTTGGGCATATTTTCAAAAAAATAATTACACCCTTGTTAAAACTTTTTTTGTGCATCAAGTTATCTAATTATGCTCAGTCAGTGCTATGACACTAAAATATGTCAAAAATGATATGGTTACCTTACACAAGTTGACCAAAAAGAGTGATTTCTTCAGCAGTGATTTTTAGCATGCCAACTTTCTCAGTGGAAGCTAGCTGAAGGGCTTTCTGTTCGAACCACAGTGACATCTAGAGGTTGTTTTGTGCATAACATGTCAACCAAAGGGGAGAGCTGGCTGAATCAGATGGAGTTACACTTTTTTATTTTTTTTCCAACAAGATATCAAGACACAAAATGTGCTCTATCAAATGGTGGAGCTGGCAGTTAAAGGATTTGCTGATACTAGATTACTTTCTAAAGTACAACATGTCTTGCAGAACATCTGTACCATGGATGTATAAGCGACAATCTGCGCAGATTTTGCCTTTTTTTGTACCACCGAACTATTAGTTAATTTGGTGGTAAGTCAAAACAAGTTCTGAAAAGTTGTAAGGCATTTTTTTGTTCAACCCTTCCCTTACCAGAGGAAGACTCTGCTGGAGGATGAGGAAGAGCAGGGAAAACATAAAATCGCTGATGGTCTGAAGACGGCACTGAGGACACAGCCAATGAGGTACAAATCCAGCCCAAGTTATCCTAGAAAATGAACATGTCCTTAGTTTTTGTTACATTTTCCCATGTACTGCAGTGATGTAAAGAATAACCCTAACAAGGCCATTCTGATTCATCTCCACCAGGTTCGTGACGCGGTTCATTGAGTTGGACGGCCTGTCTTGTATCCTGAATTTCCTCAAGTCGATGGACTATGAGACCACCAACTCTCAGATCCACACCTCCCTGATCGGCTGCATCAAAGCTCTGATGAACAACTCTCAGGGCAGGGCTCATGTGCTCGGTCACTGTGAGAGCATCAACATCATCGCACAGAGTCTCACTACTGAAAGCATCAAAACCAAGGTACATGCAATGCACTCAATATCCCATAATGACAAAGTTAGAAGAAGTTGACAAACTTTATTAATCCCACAGTGGGAAATTACATTTTCACAGTGTTGTTACATCAAACAGTACATCACACCTGAGAATACACTAATGTAAAAACTAGGGCTGTCAGTCGATTAAAATATTTAAACGCGATTAATCGCATGATGTCCATAGTTAATCGCGATTAATCGCAAATTAATCGCAAATTAATCGCACATTTTGTATCTGTTCTAAATGTACCTTAGAGGGATATTTTTCAAGTTTTTAATACTCTTATCAACATATGAGTGGACAAATATGCTTTATGCAAATGTTTGTTTATTATCATTTGAACAATGACAAATATTCTCCTGAATATTCTCAACACAACAACCTGGAACCTCTCTCTCTTACACTCTCTTACACTCTCTCCCAACCCTGTGTACTTCTCTGCACTGAGCCAGTTGCTCAAACAGACAAGCCTGTTTACAGTTGTCGGCGAAATGCTGCTCCTCTGTCTTCATAACAGTCAAAGCATGAGATGTTCTCACTGTGGGTCAAAATAATGCGCTGTGATGTGCAGTCGACACGTTGGATGCGATCCGAATTATCTAACGCAGCTCCTCGTCCTCCACAATGTTAATTGTCCTGCAAGCTGCAGCCACCGCCACCCATTTAGCTATCGCTGTTGAAAGATTGCTGCTCGTAGAAGTGTCCAGGAGTCTCCCCGGCAAACTTTCAAGCGTGGTCTGCTGTCAGCATCAGCTGTGGGCTTGGCTTGCTGTTTAAAACACCTTTTCTTGTATCCATATCTCTCGCTAGAATCTCCCACCATCCAACTAACAACAACAACAACAACAACGTCAAGCCTTTGGGCTCTGAAACTACGGGGCGGGCCGAGGACAAATACACATGCGTTAATCGCACGTTAAAATAGTTAGTGGCGTTAAATCTTTTTTGCATTAACGCGTTAACTTGACAGCCCTAGTAAAAACGTATGTCTTATTGAGAGGTGTCAGAACGAAGAGGCTGCCATGGCTAGAAGTCTGGAGCAATAGGCATTTTGGCAGTCTGCATGAACTGCATTGGCTCTCCAGTTACCAGTCCACACTGTATTTGTGTATGGTCCATGGGGGACTTGAACCAGTAACCATTATTTGACCTAGCTAAGTCCCTATTGACTGAGCTTCTATGGCTCTTAAACTTTAGATTACATGCTTCCCATTTCTCAAGGACATACAACTTTTATATAAAGTCTAAGAGTTGACAATACACCTAAGGAAGGAATCATGAATGATTGTTATTACATGTTATGCTAGATCACGCTTTTATCCAAAGACACTTACAGTAAATACACTTCTATAATGTTGACATCTAGATCCTTGATTGAAACCATGTCATGAGTCTCAGGACTGCAGAGCTTCCAACAGGAAAATGAACAGATGAACAGCAAAGACAACACTGTGTCCTCACACAATGTTGGCCCTTTAAAAGAATCGTTCTCTAGTTAGTCATCATAACATTCTTTCTCCTTCTAATTGAATATTTCCTGTTTGCTCTCTCTCCCTAGGTTGCGGTGTTAGAGATCCTTGGTGCAGTATGTTTGGTGCCAGGAGGCCATAAGAAAGTTCTAGAAGCCATGCTGCACTACCAGACATTTGCCTCGGAGAGAACACGCTTTCAGGTCTGCTTTTGCTTTGTTTGTGTGTTTCATGTAATCTTCTGCAAGGGAATATGGTGGTGTGGAAAGGAAAACACGAAGAAGCATTACATTAGATGAAGGATTCATCCTAGGGACCCTAACAATAATAATACTTCAGATTGTGACAGAAAGTGAGGCCACAACCAGTTACCACAAATATGTTTTATGCAACTTGAATATCTTCTGCTCTGTGTGCAGACCTTGCTGAACGACTTAGATAGATCCACAGGCCGCTACAGAGATGAAGTGAACCTGAAGACGGCCATCATGTCCTTCATCAACGCTGTGCTCAGTCAGGGAGCAGGAGAGGTGAACAACCATCCACGAGTCTTTATTTTGCTGAGATCTAGACAGAACTAGAAAGTACTGTATCTTTGAGTGATGTGTGTATCGTATTTGTCTCAATCAACGTCTTCCCTTCCTCCACAAATGTTGTGTTTTCAGACCAGTCTGGAGTTCCGCATCCACTTGCGTTATGAGTTCCTGATGTTGGGCATTCAGCCGATCATTGACAAACTGCACTCCAATGACAACGCCATCCTGAACAGGTACATGAGGCACTCTTGAAGATGCCAGCATTTTAAAACATACTGTGTTAACAAGTTAACAAATACATGAGAGGTCAGGGGAATATATTTGTACTTTGACAAACTTTGTTCCATTCCATTCTGTTTATGTTGTTTCCAGACATTTAGACTTCTTTGAGATGTTGAGGAATGAAGACGAGCTTCTGATGTCCAAACAGTTTGATGCTGTAAGTCATTTTAGACTGTCCAAATGTCTTTTTAGATTTTAGCGCCAAAATCCTAGCTCTTGCTGTGGGGATAAAAAGACATAACACATTTCAGTTTTTAAACACTAAACACCATCTGTTATCATAATAGGAATTTGATTGAAAATTAAAAATGTATTTTGCATTGCATTTCTTTTTTATGTCAAATAAATGTCAAAACATAGATTTGATATATGTCATAAAGAAACTGTCTTTTTCCTCAGGTCCATATAGAAACTAAAAGTGCCAGCCAGATGTTTGAGGTGATCAAGAGACATCTGAGCCACACTGAAGCGTACCCTCACCTGCTGTCTGCACTGCAGCACTGTCTCATGATGCCCTGTAAGACTGCCTGGACACTTGTCCACAACTTACTAGTTTACCTTCCTTTTTAAATCACCATGAATCTGACGGTTCTCCCCTCTGTCTGCAGACAAGCAGAGCAGCACCACGCTCCAGTACTGGGTGCTGTTGGATCGGATAGTCCAGCAGCTGGTTCTGCAGACGGACAAAGGAGAAAACCCTGATGTCGCTCCACTGGAGGACTTCAACGTGAGAAACATTGTAAGCATGTAAGTTTCAGAGGGCTCTTCATTTGGGGTAGAAGCCTATTGTGGTTTCAGGGATGAGTCATTGAACCCGGTAATGAGTTGGCATTATAGCATTTACGGTTCTCTCATCTGGAAGTCAATGGTTTTTTGAACATGTTTTTATTAGTTGCCTGAAATAAGGTCTGTGGTTAATACAAGTTTTAGAGATGTTCATGTATTGCACTAGGATATGACATATTTAAATACCTCACTGGTGAATGTCTGAATGTGTAAAGTGACTAAAAGAGACACCTAAACGTCATCACGCCCAACACGAGTCCGCCTTTAGCTTAGCGGTGGTGATGCACAGCCATGCTACTGTATTAAGTTTATAACCAAACGTTAGCTTTTTACTTATGGCATTGCATGTACGCTTAGTAAATCATAAAAGTGCTGTTAATATGTGGAGATTGTCTTGTTGAGCGAAACAAGTGATTATCATAAACGTGTTTTTCCCACCGATTTTCTTCAAGATTCCAAGTTCCAGTCGTTAATTGTCAATGAGGGTGACGTGTGTATGTTTGTCTATAGGCTCATCAAAGAGAGTGAGGTCAAACAATGGAAAGAACAAGCTGATAAAATGAGAAAAGGTAAACACACACACACACACACACACACACACACACACACACACACACACACACACACACACACACACACACACACACACACACACACACACACACACACACACACACACACACACACACACACACACACTCCTGTGCATTACAACAGCTGCAGGTTCATCAAAAACAATACAATGCATGTTTCTCTCTTGATCAGCTAGGAATTGAAATCTTAGTAAGTGCTTTGCTAATTGACTATGTATTCAATAAAACAACCGTTGGTACATCAGGGACCAAGCATGCAATGTAAATAAGCCACGCTGCAGGAGAGGCAATGCTTCTCAGTTGCCCATCAGTAGCTCTGCCTATAAGAAAGACTGTATACTTTGACTCCGCCGTAGTTTACAGAATGATCACATACTGTATGTTCCCACACTCCCTTCCCTCCAGAGCATCAGAACCTTCAGCAGCGCTTTGAAAAGAGAGAGCGGGAGGTTGAGGCCAAGAATAAGGAGAAAGACGACATGATGGTGATGCTGAACAAGCTGAAAGACAAACTGGAGCGGGAGAGCAACGAGCACAAGCAAGCTCGACAACAAGTGGGAGACCTGTCTGCCCGGCTGCAGCAGCTCAGCTCTGTACGTGCACCCAGCTGCGAGAAACGTGGTTTATTTGTGTTTATTGCTGGCAATACATGTATAATCTATGGTTATGGCATCTGTTCATAATGAATTCTCTTGTCAGACCTCCAGTGTGCCAGGAGGACCCCCCGTGGCGTATGCTGGTTCAGTTCCTCCGGCCCTGCCTTTTGCTCCACCTCCCCCCCCCTCCACCTCCTCCTCCAGGAGGCCCACCAGGTTTTGGCATGGCTCCGTCTGCCCCACCTCCTCCACCAGGAGCTCCACTAGGAACAGCCCAGAGGAAGAATATTCCTCGGCCATCCAACCCCCTGAAGTCCTTCAACTGGAGCAAACTGCCTGAGGTACTGCTGTTGCTACGGAGAGAGAGGGACTAACATAGTGTTGGGTTTGGGATGTGTCCCAAATGTTCATTCATCAACTACAACTAATAGAAGTTCTATACAGAGGACTATCATTTGAGTTATGTGCACATTTAAAGAAAACACAATGGACACTAGGTATTGTACGGTACTGAAATCATTCAAATAAATTGGGCAACAACTCATGTATTCTGGGTCTCAGTCACGCTGCGGTCTCTCCTTGCGTTTGTCCTAGTTCCTCCTATACATTCAAAAAGCACCCCCACATTGCAGACTCAATTCATAGTGGACTATGTGCTTAGCATGAACTAATTTCAGCCTGGGTCTTTTCATGGGATTTGCCGACAGTAAGAAAAAGATATGACATCCGACTGAGTAATGCCAATCAGCTTGTAATCTCTGTAGGGGGTCAACAGCTGAGAAATGCTGCAGACATCTCTACAGTGAACTTTGAGTTAGGAGGATGATAAACTTGCATATTTGCTGTTGTTTCAGAGCCAGATAGAAGGAACCATATGGAAAGAGATGGATGATCTCAAGGTGTTTAAAGTTCTGGATCTAGAAGAGTTCCAGAAGACCTTCTCAGCCTACCAGAAACCTCAAGTATTACATGTAACGTATCACACTCAGTTTCTCTTTTGCCTTTTATTTTATGTTCATTAGGTATTTGTGTCATTAGCATATCAATCCTCCTATTCATAGATTTAGTTTCATTGTGCGACAGATATTGACACTACTCAGGTTGATTGCATGTGTTTGAAATGGAGAATACAGAAACACTGAAAACAAACTTTTACACGGAAGAAGGCTTTTTTTGGTATTCTAACCACTATGTTGTATTAGCAGAAGGATCATGAGGAGGACCAGTCCTTTGTGAGGAAAGTGAAGGAGCTGTCAGTAATCGACGGTCGACGAGCTCAGAACTGTAACATTCTGCTCTTACGGTCAGTGCATGTTCCATATGAATAAGTTTGATCCAAAAAAATGTGCATGTTGAAAAGCTGTTATATAAATGTATGTTACAGACTGAAGCTGACCAATGAGGAGATCCGACATGCTGTCCTATCCATGGACGAACAGGAAGACCTACCTAAGGACATGCTGGAGCAGGTGACCCATTACCACATCTTCTGAGTCACCTCCAGCCCAAGTATTGCTCCCAAAGCAGATTTCAAATGGTTATAATGACAACAGTAACAAGATGTTTAGAATCAGGATGCTGTTTCATTAAAGGTGTGCATAAGGTCCTTGGAGGATCTTTATATTGATCCATATAAAAATGACCAATATAAAGAAGCAATGTGATTTGATACGGGGCAGATATGGCAAAGGGGGTAAACACATGTCTACCAATCAGAGAGTCAATGCTTCAATCACCAGTCCCTGCAGTCAGGTGTCCTTGGGCAAGATATTTAGTCCTGTACTATGATGCAGATTTCTAATTGTAACATTCCTATTTATTTACGGCTCAAACGTGTGTCACAAATAAAACATAAAATAACTTTTTTAAATGAAATGCACATTTAACTGTGTGTGTGTGTGTGTGTGTGTGTGTGTGTGTGTGTGTGTGTGTGTGTGTGTGTGTGTGTGTGTGTGTGTGTGTGTGTGTGTGTGTGTGTGTGTGTGAAGCTCCTGAAGTTCGTCCCTGAGAAGAGTGACATTGAGCTGTTAGAAGAACACAAGCATGAGCTGGATCGTATGGCCAAAGCAGACCGCTTCCTGTATGACATGAGCAGGTAAAACACACACACACACACGCACACACACACACACACACACACACACACACACACACACACACACACACACACACACACACACACACACACACACACACACACACACACACAGCCTGTATTTGTCAGTTAACTAAAGCATGACGGTGACAGACAGACTGTACACTTTGAGGATCCTGTCTGGAGGAGAAGCTGCAGAGCGGGTTGAAAGAGAGAGTAGTTACCTCAAGTAACAGTGTTATTAGTAGGGATGGGTATCGTTAAGGTTTTAACGGTACTACTACTTTTATCGATACCGCTTATCGATCCGGTCTTTTAACGGTACTCTTATCGGTTCTTTTGGAGAAAAAAATAAGGTAAACTAACTAAACAAATTGTGAACAAAACTAACATTGCTTTTTATTTAAATTAAATACATAATATTTCACATCAAAAGAAACAACAATGTTTTAACAAATCGTATTAAATAATCTGATGACAGAATTGTAAACAGAAAGGCTGAAACTTTAACAAAAGAAATAACTCAGTTACCTCTAATCATTAACCCATGTTTGTATCATTGAGTTAGCTCCGTGTGTTGCTGCTAGCATACATAACACCTGACGTGGAAACGTTACTCGTGGACGGGGCTACAGAGCTACTAGAAAGACAGTTGAACGGTGCATTTCTCCGTCTAAATGTGGAGCACTTTTGCTAAATGTTTAGACAAATTGCTTGTGTTACTGCCCTTACATGCTAAACTCTTATTGCACTTTTGGTAACGAGCATTGTCCACATCGAGACGGGTAAAGTTTAACCACACCTAATTCAGCACCGGGGCCCGTTTCATACCGGGTACCCATCCCTAGTTATTAAGCTGCTATACCAAGTCAAATAAAACAGTCCCGAGTTGGTAACAAATGTTAAGCAGTATCTAAAATGCTTCACTTGTGCAAATAACTGACGATAAGGCACAGGAGCACCCTGTTCTGCTGCTTCCCCTCTGATGCTTACCAGGAAGTCTGCTTACTTAGACTTTTAGCTTAGCCTGTTATATTTCATGTTAAAAGTCATCACAAATGATTATTGGTTATGATTATCACAACCTGCAGTCGGTCGTCAGCTTTATGGAGCCAGGCACAATGGCCAAAACAACTAAAGGCCAAAGATAGGCCCGGATCCTGTGTCACATGAGAGATTTTCTGGCTTTTCACATTGAACATTTTAACGGAAAACGACATCTTCATTCACAGAAGCAGGGTTAAGGCCACTGATATGTGGTTCCCTTCTCAGTCCTAACTTATCTTGGTCTCTTACCCTCTGTCCCAATCAAAGCTTTTGTCATCGAGCTTTAAAAATAGCACAAAACGATATCCTCATCATCGGTACCCTCGGCAAGAAAGTGCTTCTTGCTTTAACCTATGTTCTTATAATCACACTTTTGTATGTGTCTGTATTAAACAGAAAAGAGCGACATCATGTGGCCAAACAGCAAAACAACATAACCAGCTATTCCAGGCAGTGAATACAAATGTATACAACATTTAGAGAAAAACATTAGAGGACATTGTGTGACTATCTGTTGACATGTTCACACACAAACAACAAAATAGTTTGAGGAAGTTGTAGTTGGGTGGCTGTTGGGTCATCGGAGTCCACTCACAGTTTGGCTGTTTGATTCTGTCCTCTCCTAGCATCAACCACTATCAACAGAGACTGCAGTCCCTCTACTTCAAGAAGAAGTTTGCTGAAAGAGTGGCTGAGATCAAACCTAAAATCAAAGGTATTCCTTTCTATCCAAAACTCACTGAATTCATGGGTGCTGTTCTGTTCAGTTTGTTGTGCCCTGCTGAAGATATTATAAGATGTTAAAATACATGTTGACATTGTGTTCCAGCTCTGAGCATAGCGTCCCAGGAGGTGGTGCAGAGCGGGGCGCTGCTTCAGCTCCTGGAGGTGGTGCTGGCCTTTGGAAACTACATGAACAAAGGACAACGAGGAAACGCCTGGGGATTCAAAGTGTCCAGTCTCAACAAGATAGCCGACACCAAGTCCAGTATTGACAAGTACGGGTCATTTTCTGTTCACTTTATCTGAGAAGAAATGTAGATGTTTGTTCGATTTGCTTTTCTTCTAGAAGTCAATGAGAAGTGATTAATGTTTGACTGTTAAATGTACGGTGTGTGTTGTGTTTGCAGAAACGTCACTCTGCTTCACTACATGATCACTGTGCTGGAGAGGAAATACCCGAAGATGGCAGCTTTCAGTGAAGAGCTTCAGACTGTGCCAGAAGCTGCTAAGGTCAAGTAAGAACAAACACAAATACACTGTAGAAGTGATTGTACTGAACCTCACTGCTAAAACAAGACTTTGTGGAGACTGTTGTTCCCCAATAAATAGGTCCTGAAATCCACCTAAAACCACAAATGGGAAGAAACAAATGTAGGAATTGTATTTTGTGTAATGCAGCTAATATGACTGTCTTGTGTCTCTCTACATATGACCTGTCTCTCCAGCATGACAGAGTTGGAGAAGGACATTGGCAAGCTGAGATCTGGCCTGAAAAATGTTGAGGCGGTGAGTGAATGATTACGAAGCTGTTCAGTTATTTTCTTAGTATGTTTAACACCTAACACCCTGTAAGTCCATTTAAAAAAAGACTCATGGAGGATACATGTGGAATATATTGACATATTGAATTCAGTGTGTGTGTGTGTGTGTGTGTGTGTGTGTGTGTGTGTGTGTGTGTGTGTGTGTGTGTGTGTGTGTGTGTGTGTGTGTGTGTGTGTGTGTGTGTGTGTGTGTGTGTGTGTGTGTGTCCAGGAGCTGCAGTACCAGCAGGGCCGCTCCCCTCAGGGTCCTCAGGACAGGTTTGTCCCTATGGTCAGTCAGTTCATCACTGTGGCCTCCTTCAGCTTCTCTGACGTGGAGGACTCACTCAGTGAGGCCAAACAAGTGGTGAGTCAAGGGGGATACTGTTATTCACATGTTTAACCCACAAACATAATCTTAACACAAAGGAGTCTAAAGCTGTAGTTAGGGTTAGCAGAAACAGAAAATCTTTATGTGAGTCTGAAGCAATGCTATCCAACAACATTCATAACCCACTGCTGCCAGTCTGTATGCTACGCTAGGCTAACGTTGTCCTGACTCCAGCTCTGTAATTAACACACATACTGTCTCTCGATTCGGATACTTTCCTCAGTACACTTCCATGTCTTAAACTGGGTGGTCTTGTCTTAAATCCAACACAGGTGTTATGCCCTCACTGGAAGTGACGATTGCTGCTGTTAGCTAGCTAGCTAGCAATTATCATTCGCAGTACCAAATCCTTTCAGATTGCTCAATTAACCCTATACAATTAACAGCAGCTTCTTTTTGACACCAGTTACAGTATAGCAGAACTTAAATATTGAAAAATAAATACACATATCTAACTTTTATTTGCATAGTGCTATGTTCACCAAAGCAACAGCAATAGTGTGTAATTGCAATACTGCTAGTAAGTGTCCACGTTCCACTGTGGACCATTGTGAGAGCCCCATCTGGATACTCATAGTGCATTTTGACATACTTTGCAAGCAGCAAATGTAAGCACAGAGGTACATGATTTGAGACTCAGCAACAAACGTTTTTTCTCAAATTGTTGTGCTATTTGATTAAAATGTGTCGATTGTTTGCCTTTTAAGATAAGCCTTCATAGTACATAACTATCTATCCTCAAATGACTGACAGAGAAACGATGTTACACTCACACAGTTTCACATTATATTGTGTGTATTATATACACACAAGTTGGACATTAAAAAGGCAAGATATCTGAAAGATCTGCCTGTTGATCAAAAACAGAAGCTAAATGAAACCATAAATACAATTACCAATTACACAACAATTACATTTTCAAATTGGTATTTATTATATAACTTATTTGTACTTACTAAATCATGGTAATGTCCCGTCAACTTATGAACACAGAAACAGAACATTTCTAAATCATTGAATAATGCAGAATACAAAAAAAGCCAACGTTTACAGCAGCTACATATGTTCGACTCGTCAAAATGTATCATGTCTCTTGTTGCAGTTTGGAAAGGCGCTGGTACGTTTTGGAGAAGACACGTCCAACATGCAGCCAGATCAGTTCTTTGGGATCTTCAACACTTTCCTCACAGCTTACTCAGAGGCCCAGCAGGACAACGAGAACATGGCGAGACGCAAGGAGGAGGAGGAGAGACGGGAACTCTTGGAGGCACAGGTTAGAGGACATGATCATACAAGAGAGATGTACTTTATTTTAACAGGATAGATAATGTCTGTTACAACGTGTCAGGTACATAGTACATTCATACGTTTTGTTCCGTGCATTAAACATATAACATACTTGACACTAACTTCTGAGAGATAACATAATAGACGTTGCCTACACACTTTCCCTGTTTCCATACACTGATTCAGACGAGATGGGGAAGTATTCAGATCCTGCAAAAAACTTAAATGACTAAGAACTTGTACTAGTATGACACTGTAAAAATACTCTGTGTAAAGTGTCAAAGTCCTGCATTTAAAATGTTTCTTTCGAAAAAGTGAGTAAACATTCGTAGCCAAATGTAGTTAAATGACTTTACTAGTGTCAAAGCAGAGACATCTACAATTAAAAATGGTTCAAAATAAATGAAACAATGAGTGACATTTATATAAAGGCCAATTCATGTTCTCCTTAAATAAACTATTGGCTCATTTAATAAAAACAAATCCTCATATATGATCAACTGTTTTTGTATGCAAAACTCTTGACTTGTAAACTAACTAAAGCTGTAAGATGAATGCAGTAAAGTAAAACGTACATTATTGAATTGAATTGGAGTAGTATAAAGAGTCAGTAGTGATACACGTACAGTACTCATCCTGTCTTGATCTGTCTGTTCCTGCAGCTGAAGAGAGACAGGGAGCAGAAGGGCAGGAAGGCCAGAGCCAACGCAGAAGAGGAGAGCGGTGAGTTCGATGACCTGGTGTCCGCGCTGCGCTCTGGAGAAGTGTTCGATCGGGATATGTCCAAAATGAACCGCAGGAAGCAGCGGACACAGAACGTGTTGGAGAGCAGCCGGGAGAGAGTAGTGACAAGACTAAACCAGTGACCAACTTCATCTTTAAAGCTGTCAGGAAGTACACAAACATACTGAAACACTGCTGTCTATGGAACATAATCAATGTATGTAAATGTAGGCTTTTTTAAATAGTATTGGGCTACTTTTCCAATTTCCAGAATCAGGAGTCCTTTATTCCTCCTGAAGTGGGGAAGTGTACACTGTTAGAGCAAAGGGGACAATGCAAAGGCAAACATATACTTTCATATTAAACAAAAAAGCAAGCACATGTTAATACAATCATATCAATAAGAACACATCCATGTTAAAAACATTGTAGCAGAATTATAAAAAAGTTATTCAACACATAAACATGATGAGGTAGCAACGAGTAAAAGCATTAATAAATTGTAAAAAGTGTATATTGCACATGGCACAGTTATCTCTACATTTTGAGTGTTTTTATGTTATATTCAAAAGAGAAAGAGAATAGTAAGATATTTAAGTTGTATTATACCCCTTGTATATTTGCCCAAGTTTGCACACATCTGCTTTATTTGTGAATTAGAATTGGGAGGGATGAAACCCTCTTTAATGATCACACATGCAGAGCACACAGCACACACAGTGAAATGTGTTCTCTGCATTTAACCCATCCTACCAGGAGTCTAGTAGTAGGAGCAGTGGGCAGCTATTGTACAGCGCCCGGGGAGCAATGGGAGTGCCTTGCTCAAGGGCACCACGGCAGGGCAGGAGGTGAACTGGGACCCTTCGGCTCACAGTCCAAGCCCCTACTGACTGAGCCACTGCCGGAGTTCCATTAGTAATGCAAATTAACGGAGGAGGCTGTGGCTCAGTGGAGAGTGTGCTGGACTTCAAATCAGGGGGTAGCAAGTTCGAGTCCCACTGCAGTCAGCATGTCGTTGTGTCCCTGGGCAAGACACTTCACCCCAAATTGCTCCTGTGGGGATTGTCCACAGTACTGAATGTATGTAAGTCGCTTTGGATAAAAGCGTCTAACAAATGACATGTAATAATAATAATAATAATAACATGTAATAATAATCTGTTCTTAATATAAGATTTTAAACTGTTATCATTTAAGTGTTTTTCATCAGCTGTTACACACTACTCCATCATTTCTTTTAAACAACGCTTTGTAAAAATGTATACAACTATATCCTGCAATAGCTGCATTTAATAAGTTGATGTTTTGATTTTTATTCAATCATTTTGTTACCTTGGTTGGTGATTGGCTAATGGTTACACAAGCCAACATTTTTTTATGACATCACAAAGTGGCCAAAATCTGATCAGCTCATTTTCAGACAGCTTTCTATATAAATGGATCAGGACATTTAAAAGTGAGTGAATCTTTTTTCCTGAAACTTTCAGAATCTCTTTACACAGAGGGGACACATATTTATGTATAAAAGACATGAAAAAGTGGATTTTGCATAATAGGTGACCTTTAAAAAAATGTATTATCAACATTCTAATCCCAACACATGTTACATTGCATTTCAGAAAGATATCATAATAAAGTTGGAATATTGTCAGACTTATATTATAATTTAGTCAGAATATTGTAAGATGTATGTCATAATATTGTAATAATATCTTCAGAATTGTATACTTAGGTCAAAAATATTTTCAGACTTATGTCATAATGGTGTAAGACGGTTGTAAGATTGATGTCATAATGATACCTTGGCAGAACAGAACAAAGCATGGAGGTGAAAGCTGATCTCTTTTTATTTAAATGGGAAAGCCCAATACAAATATTCAGTCACTTACACCGATTAATTATTGTGAAGAATCATTTTGATTTAAATATTGATCAATTAATTGTGATTCTACTTTTGGCCATTGTCTTGCAGGATAAGAACACATGTAGCCTAGTTGCTTTTCAAACATAGCAAAATTGCAAGGAAATGTTAATTGAAATTGACACTTTTAAACATCATGGAAAGGTTTGGATATTTGAGAAGATGTGTATATTGCAATATTATAAGACCTAAACTACAGTTAAATGTTACTTGTAAAGCCCCTCCCCCGCTTACCATGACTTTTCAACACAGACCCCCCCCCCCACATAACAAATCCTATTTTAAAGTATGTTTGCTGCAAAATAATGCCAATAATGCTAATGCAATAAGAAAAAGCCAACAAAGGTTAATAATCACAACGGGGTCTGTGCCAGTGTAAGAAGCCAAGTGTGTGTGTGTGTGTGTGTGTGTGTGTGTGTGTGTGTGTGTGTGTGTGTGTGTGTGTGTGTGTGTGTGTGTGTGTGTGTGTGTGTGTATTGCGTGTGTGTAATATTAGCTATGGAAACATTGTTTGTCGCCCCTTGTGGAGGCTCTCGTGCTCGCAGAAACAAAACAAAGCTGCATTCAAGAGCCCGCCTCAGCAGGGCGGCTTGATGAGAAGACCTCTAGCTCGTAATAAAATGAATATTTTGCATCGCATGTCACAGGCTTGAGGAGACATCCGTTCGGTAGTCTTAAATCGGTCCAGTCACGGTGTACAGGGTGGGAAATGCTCCCTATTGTTCCGTTTCCCCCCCTCTGTGCGGGGACGTTACCCAGCGCCACAGATGTTTCATTAGGCAACAGTGCTGCGCGAGCTGCTGGTGCCCACTTCCTGAATTCACAGCAACAGGAGCCCACAAACATTGCAGCGAATCGTTTTTCTGTCGATAAGTAGCAGAGAAGCTCCGGTCGGAACCCCAGCACCGTCGGCTCGGTTTGAGGGGTGTCGCCGCTCCGCTGCCATGGTGGAGACTCCAGCCGGCTGTCTGTTTGAAGACATCCAGTATGAAGACATCCAAGTTGAAACGGTAAACTCACTGAGCTACAGCAGAGGGCATTAACGTTAGTTAGCTCTGCGGTGCCGAGGGGAAATGTCCCGGTACTAGCAGCTAAAATAAAACCGCGTACTGTTTGTGTTCAACACTTGAGTAACAGACAGGCAGGCAGACATGCTACTTTAACGGACTGAGCTTTAACGTGAAATACAGAGACAGGCGAACACACTTGTGAGCAGACCTATAACCATGACAGAATCCGCCTTCAAACCCCCTAAAAGCGTTTTAACAAGCAGAGCAAGGCCTCAGCCTCCAGTGCAACAGAACAGTCGAGAATGTGTTCTGGATAAACTCGGTGTTGATACTTCTTTAAGTGCAGCAGAGAAAAGGGAAAGCTTAAAGGGAAGAAACGTGAGAGCAGTTAACCCTTGCATCATGCTCACATGTTGGACCCTTATGTTCTGTTCGGTTCAAGTTAACATGGTATCGTTTATGGGTTTTAAAAGGAAACCCTAACCTATATTGTCTTTATCTCATTTCCTAGCGATATAGATTATATATCTGATCAATACTTGCAAATACTTGCAAAAAAACAGGTTTATTGCCTAGTAGGTTAACACATAGGCTACGAGGATTAGTCCTAAAATAAGATAAGATAAGTCCTTTGTTTATGATGCAAACATAAACACAGTCAAATAAGATGTATTGTAAGAAAATGACCAACAAAATACAATTATTATAAAAAACGATTTAAAGAAAACTATTATAACGTTAACATAAAGCAATATTTACATGAAATATAGATTTACCTGTACAATTTCAACACAATAAAATATGTGTGACTACGTCATCATTTATCTAAAACGATGAGACCACATTCATGCTTATCTAGGAACAAATATAAATGAAACATCTTTTTAATAATGATCATTTTGCCACTTGGTTTTCACCTTTATCGCACTATCATGAGAGGAAAATACAGGTGAAACGTCAATGGAAACACACACACCACACTTGGATGTAACAGTCTTTGGCTATGAAATACACCTCTTTAAGAATCATTTAGCATGTTTATCCTTTTTATTTTATTTTACATATTTACTAAATGAAATGAAAAAAATATCCTTATATTATTATTTTTTGTGTAAAAAAGGAAAACTGGTCAATTTGACCTAACCACACAAGGTTTAAACTCCTGATGTGGTGTAAAAAGTACTCAGGATCTTGTATCAGTATACTCAGTATTTAGTGTCTCTACTGTGACATGTCTCCATGCTTTAATGTTCAAAAAGCTCTTTATTTGTCTCATACTGTCTGTGCTGCAGCACCTCTTTTCACCCTCTGTCTGAAACCAGAGCCCAGGCTTCTCCGATTGGTTAGCTGGCCAGCTCTGTTGTGATTGGTCAACCGCTTAGAGATGTTCCGCCGCTATTACTTTAAATGTGTTGGAGCACTAGCCCATAGAAGCAAAAGTGTTACATAGTGATGACATTATGTCACATAAGTAAACAAAGGAGTCCAATGGAGGGAACACGGGGATTGTAGTCTTTGCAGACCATATACATGCACAAAAACCTATAGAACACATACTCATGTACTCCACTTGTGTCCTGAGTTCATGTTTCTTAAGTAAAAGTACAGAATATTATATTATTCAGTTTTTATCATTGGAAAATGCAAAGTTTGTCTATATGGAGCAAAATTGTTTAAAGACATCATTTTATTAATGTAAAAAGTATCTACATGAGTCAAATAAATGTAGTGGACTACAGTGTACAATATTATAAAGTAGCGGTAATGGAAATACTCAAGTAAAGTATAAGTACCCCCAAAATATACTTGAGTACAGTACTTGTGCATCCTGGGTAATATATTGTCATGTCTTTCTTCTTTTCAGGCTGTTGGCAGAGGGACATTTGGAGTGGTCTTCAAGGCCATCTGGAAAGGACAGGATGTGGCAATAAAGACCATAGAGAGTGAGAATGAGAGGAACGCTTTCCTGGTTGAGGTACGGATCCCACTGTTACAACAACACCCCACACTGTTACAACAACACCCCACACTGTTACAACAACACCCCACACTGTTACAACAACACCCCACACTGTTACAACAACACCCCACACTGTTACAACAACACCCCACACTGTTACAACAACACCCCACACTGTTACAACAACACCCCACACTGTTACAACAACACCCCACACTGTTACAACAACACCCCACACTGTTACAACAACACCCCACACTTTGAGTGAAGATGGCTGTGCTGCCCTAACAGTAAAGGCTACAAACAAAACAGTAATTGGTTGTCTCCATATAAGTCTCCACATTTGTTAACTAGAGAATATCCCGTATCTTGCTGGAGACAGATCTCAGAAGATCCCACATGAGGAATTCAGTCTTCACTCTGTTAGCTTATACAGTACAAATACACACATGCACAAACACATGCATTTTTCACCTGAGAGGTGTAGGAGTGAATTGGTAGCCATGTTTTGGCACCCGGGGGTTCAGTGTTTTTTTGTTGTTGTCCATACTGGGACTTGAATCAGTCACCTATTGGTTCTAATGCCAAGTCCCACATCATGCTCCACTGTAGATCTCATAGACAGACAGTTATTCATGTATTAATGTGTTGATGGTAATAAGTGTGTTTTGTTTGTGCACAGCTCCGCCAGCTGTCCCGGGTCAATCACCCCAACATTGTTAAGCTGTATGGCTCCTGTGACAATCCAGTGAGTAACACACACACACACACACACACACACACACACACACACACACACACACACACACACACACACACACACACACACACACACACACACACACACACACACACACACACACACACACACACACACACACACACACACACACACACACACACACACACACACACACACACACACACCACACACACACACACACACACACACACACACACACACACACACACACACACACACACACACACACACACACACACACACACACACACACACACACACACACACACTTAAGTGCTACTGCATTAGCTTCAAATTAGCCATATTATATTATTCTAATGGAAATATTGCAGTGTTGAAGAGAAGTCCCGGCCTACAAACGGTATTCTTTGGTACAAGTACTGTAGAAAAATAAAACCATGATAATTGTAATATATTTTTATATATAATGTGAATCATGTTTTTTTCCCTCTTATATTGCAAATCCTATTGCAATTTTAGTCCAAAAGAATTCCAATTAGTTATTTTTCCCAATGTGTGCAGCTAAACCACGTAAAGTACCA